CCCGTTTTAATAACAGCATCTTGTTAAATTACTCATTGAAACGAGAAGTTTCTTGTTTATAACGAGACGAGAGTAGCTCATTATGAACAGAAAATGTCTCGTTTCAGTAAAAAAAAAAAAAAAAACATTCTTGTTGGAACAAGAAAACTTCTCACTTTAAAGACAAAGTTTCTTGTTATAATGAGATTGAAAATTCATCAACCTTTTCGTTTTAGGAAGTTTTGAATCTCATTTTAATGAGAAATTTTGTTAGTGAAACGAGCTACTGCTCCTGAATCTATTTCCAAGCTCTGACAGTACTTCTGTAGAATTGAATTCATTTGCTTTGTGGCTTTTTATGTAATTTGACACAAACTTAAAAACACTGATCAACAAAAAAGTTTAATCCAGGAGTGTCCAAATTTTTTGACATGTGCCAAAATTGTTGTGTCAAAAGGAAAAGAAAATAATAATAATAATGAAAATATATAGAGACTTTGCAAAGCAGTTGCAAAGTTTATGCAAAGACTTCCTTTAGGAGTCTTTGCATAGACAGGCTATACTTTTATAAAAAAAAGTTTCATTGTAAAAATAAAGAATGCCTCGTGTTATATGTCATGGTTTCATTTTAAGAAAGCCCGTAATAATTTGCTCCTTTGCACCTCTGCTGCACATTTGTGTCAGTCTTGAACTGCAATTGGAGGCCACAAAAATCAATCCAAGAACCACAAGTGGACCCCGAGCCACACTTTGGTTTGATTTGTGAAAAACCCTTAATGAGAAATTAAGGGTTAAATTCAGCTGGTCTTCTCTTCAATCCGCAAATTATCTTTAAAAAAAACAAAAGTCCTTAAAATTTGATGTTCGGATTCATTTTTGCAATTATTTTCAAGAAAGTTCATCTCTTCTTGCTCTGTCATCTAAGCTTCAAAAACAAAATGTTTGCACCAAAAGTCAGATGCAAACATAGTATGTTTTTTTATTTCGTTTTTTTTTTTTTCTGATGAAAGTATGAAATGACAGTGTGGAGTTTAACTGAAAGCCAGCTTGTCAATCACCACACAGAAAGGTTTCAGCTGCCTTGTTACAGGCCACTGTGAGAGGCCTGTTACTCTACACCAACAGCAACCAGATTAACACACACAGTGGAAAACCAGGGGCAGCAGAAGTGACATACTTGTGTGAGTGTGTGTGTGCACACATTTTCTAATGAGTTGCAAACGTCTTCCTCTGCTGCCACACAAGGTGAGGTGTTGCGTATGAGGAACTTAAAGCATCAAAAAGGGAAATGAAATTGTCAGAACGCCAAGCAGTGAGTCAAGAGAAGCAGAAACGGAGGCTACGGGATGACATTTTCCGCCTTTAATTTAATTGTTTCTATCCAAAAAAAAAATACCCAAACAAACAAAGAAACATGCCGGCCTGAGAGAAAGTGTCTCTCGTTCCGACTCTCTTTTGCATACTGGGGCTGTGAGTTGTGGTTCTCTGCATTGTTATCATTGCTGTCATCGCTAACAATGAAAAACAGTGTGTGTTCAGGCGATGGGGGAGGAGCAGACACACACACAACGACACAGGAAAAGAAGGAAAGAGCAGCCAGCTGTCGGGCGTCAGAGAAAAAAAGAAGAATGAAAAAAAAAACGTGTGATTGAGTACAAAAGGAGAGTATGTTGCAGTGAACTGGCCGAGCTGGAGGTTGTAGCGGGATTAGGAAAAGTCTGTAGGACTCTAAAGGAAAACGCTACTCTTCTTTGTTTCAGCTCCTGGTCATAACTTTGTGACATCTTAATAATCTCTTCTCCTCTCTGATTTGGAGTAAATTACCAGCAACAAATTGTATGCAGATCACAGGGCATGTGTTGCCCAGCCTCCCAGCGGTGGATATTGAGCTCCTTAATGTGACATATTTAACCAATTATCATTTAGTTCAAGTCAAACACGGCAGGCTGGCAGAGAGTCCACACGTCTGAAATCAAAGTTTCATGACCGCACCCCTTAAGGCCATGTGTTGCCATGCCTACCCCGCTCCATGAGTCTGGCCATGTTGAGCACACATGTGAAGATCTATTGATGACCAAATAATGACAGCGTTCTGGAAGTACTGCCCTTCATTCCACTCAAGTCTTTGTCGCTCAACTGATCGACTCCATCTGATTCAGGAGAGGAGTCCGATTTGACGAAATAGATGCATTTGCTTCTTCTCTTTCTCACTTTTAAACCTTTTGCTGAAATCAGAAGATGAAGATAGAAAACTTCAGAGGTTTATCCATCCATCCATTTTCTTCCACTTATCCGGGGTCAGGTCGCGGGGGAAGCAGCTGCAGAAGGGAGGCCTAGACTTCCCTCTCCCAGCCACTGCTTCCAGCTCTTCCAGGGGAACCCCAAGGCGGTCCCAGGCCAGCCGAGAGACATAGTCCCTCCAGTGTGTCCTGGGTCTTCCCCGGGGTGTCCTCATCATGGGACTTGCCCGGATCACCTCACCAGGGAGGCGACCAGGAGGCATCCTGACCAGATGCTCGAGCCACCACAACTGGCTCCTCTCGATGTGGAGGAGCAGCGGCTCTACTCTGAGTCCCTCCCGGATGACTGAGCTTCTCACCCTATCTCTAAGAGAGAGCCCACCCACCATACGGAGAAAACCCATTTTGGCCGCTTGTATCCGTAATCTCGTTCTTTCGGTCATGACCCAAAGCTCATGACCATAGATGAGGGTGGGAACGTAGATCAACCGGTAAATCCAGAGCTTTGCTTTTTGACTCAGCTCTCTCTTCACCACGATGGACCGGTACAGCGCCCGCTTCACGGCAGACGCCGCGCCAACCCGCCTGTTGATCTCCCGCTCCCTTTTTCCCTCATTCTTGAACAAGATCCCGAGATACTTGAAATCCTCCACTTGGGGCAGGACACCCTCCCCGACCCGAAGAAGGCACTCTACCCTTTTCCGGCTCAAGACCATAGCCTCGGATTTGGAGGCACTTTATGCATTTATATTGAATAGCATTTCGTCATACATAATCAAGTCTCAAACATCCATCACTTATACCCACTTATCCTTGCAGGGTTCAGTCATTGGGCTAGATATGTTGGCAGTCCATGAATGCACTTTCACACCCAAAGACAACAGCCATGTTTTTGGACAGTGGAGGGAAGTGAAGGTACCCAGAGAGAATCCACGTATCCACAGGGAGAACATGAAGAACCGTGCAGGATTCGTACACAGGATGCAAGGCACCACTAGCTCCATTTCTATTAACCATAAAATGACATGAAAATAAACGTGCCTGATGGAAACACTGCAATTTCGGAGAGACACATGATTTTTAATAAAAGCTGTTGTGCTGGGAAGAGATGGTTTTTCAGCACTTTTTTGTCCTACCAATTAAGTGAAGACGCCAAAGAAGAAAACAGGAAGCTTATACTTTTCAGGCCCTCTTAGCACCTTTGGTCGTCCATATAGGCTTGGTGGTCTTAATCATTCATATTTTAGGCTTCTGCTTGTGTTGCATGTCTGAAGAGGTAGAGGTTATTTATTACTACTACAATGACAATGTGGAAGAGAAAATAATTTAAAATACTTTCTGTGTCTTCAAAATTGATCCACCAGGCCTGATTTCACAAACATAAAACAATTAATTTTTTCACAGTTGCCCTCAGTCCAGCTTGAATAAAACTACAGCCACAAATATTTAATAACACATCAACCTTTAGAATGATTTTCTTTGTCACTTTTATTCTCTATTAAATAATTATTACATTTGTTTAGCATACTGGTAAATGCTGCTTCGTGTATTTTTCATTTGGGTAGACCATTCTACGCCAAAGGCAGCTTGATCAATTTGACTAGCAGCCAGTAAGGAGGATGGAATTAGGTAAATGAACATTTAAATAAATTATTTTAAGTTGTGTTTTATCACAATGATAAAAAAAATAGATTTGATGATAAAAGCTGCTTAAAACATTCTGATTTTTAAAAAAATGTATTAGACTCAGTTTCTGTGTTTTTGCTTTTATTTTCTCACCTTGCTGGTTTTCTGAAAACCCCCTAGCGCCCTCTAGTGCCGAGGCACTCACTTTGAAAACTTCTGTAAACAGAACCTCATCTGCAAACAGAAAATCATCATAAAACTGAGTGTAAACACTGATACTGTAGGAAAAGTCAAATCCCGCTGCCTGCAGCATTCAACTAGTCCACAACATAAAAGATGTGACAGCACTGGTACTGTCAAAGTCATTCTGACCAGGGTGGATTTTCCAACAGCTGCACAGATATTTCTATGAAAACTGATTTTAGTGTCACTTGCCACAGCTGATTACTGTCTCATCTATGGAATCAAGAAATCTCTAAAAAAGAACATGTCTGCCAAGTTTTATCTGTCAAGTTTGAATTTTGTCAAGTGGGTCATTATCCATAATTGGGAAAACATTAAACAATGGTGAGACTTCACCCAAAATACTCCAAAAGCTAATCAACAACTCTGACATTGCTACGCTAACACAATACAGAGAAAATAAAATGATTCTCATCATCGTCAACAATAGTCAACATGGTAGTAAATGTTTGACGGTCTGGGGCTGTTTAAATAATTTAAATAATTGTTTTGGAGATCCTGAGTCAAAGAGAGGAAGTCTGCATGAGAGGCCGTGGCATGACCTGGAACATTCATGCTTGAACACCTTCCACTGTTATGATGAGCAGTTGCCTTCAAGGTGTATTAATAAATTACCTACACACATGTGTCTTACAGCTTCTTTTTTTTGACAAATTAAATTATTACTATCACTGTATTTTATTAATTCTGGTTTCCCTTATCTAATATTAAAATAGGTTCGATGTTTAAATGTAATTATTTAAGTGCGATTAAAAAGAAGTATTTATTTCCATTTAGAAATAGATTCAGAATTGAATTTAATTGAATTAAAAAAAAGTGCTGCTAGCTGTTCTGGTGTCTACCACGCGGGGGCAGCATTGAGTTAAGCCCTCGTTTGCCAGCTGCCAGTGAACTGCAGAACAAGCGCAATGAACCGCAATGGCGGTCAGATTACAAGCAGGCGATCCTTTCAGAGGAAAACTTGGATTTCTTTTTCTTCTCCTCCATGCCTGTCGGGGTTCGACTGAAGAACTTAAATGGGATGAAAATGGCTACGTCCTCTACTGCCCCTGCATGGGTAATTTCTGGCTTTATATCTGTGTTTTCTGCTGCTGAAATTGAACTTTTCATATGGAGAAGTTTATAGAGATTTAAAAGTTTGGTTAGTGAGTCTAGAAGTTGTGCTTTCATCAGATGGTTTCTAAATGCCTCCGGTCTGGAGGTGTTTCCAGGACTCGGCTAAAAGCTGTTCGCAGTGATGGAGGAATGACGGGTCATTAAACCTCCTGCTCTTCTCCTCCAGGTCGCTTCGGGAACCAGGCGGACCACTTCCTGGGATCTCTCGCCTTCGCCAAGATGTTGAACCGAACCCTGGCGGTCCCTCCCTGGATAGTGTACCGCCACCACACCCCGCCTTACACTAATGTAAGTACAGCTTAGAACTCCTGGAGGGTTTTACCTTGGATTAGGGATGAACAAACTTCCTGTTCAAAGGTCAAGTAAGGCTTCTAGAGCAGATCAAAGGTCTTCTCCCTTCTGATGTTTTATATTTCTAAAGCTTGACTACCAGCCTTAACAAAATGGTTCTTACACACAAAAATAAATATTTGGTGTGTAATTTAAGAGACAACTCTGAAACTACTTTCATGTTTTATGTGTGAAATGGGCTTAACTGATTGGAAATGCGCTCCATTTTAAACTACAGACCAAATGAAATCCTCAATTATGCTGTCAGCAGATGCAACTTGTTCTCATTTTTCCTTTTGTTTCATTCTAAAATTAGCTACATGTTTATGCAAAGTCTCTCATCTCCTGCTCACATAGCCTTAGCAATGAGCTCAAGTAATAATAATAGCTTTGGCCTAACTTTAGTCCAGTCAACTATTTAAAAAAATATATTTATAGGTTCAATTGCGATTTCTTTTGTAAGTCTGGGGTCAAAAATAAAATCAGCATTTTTCTTTTCAGACCAAATCCGATTTCAATCTGTTTTTCTCCGCTTTTATTTAAAAAATTACACAAAACAGTTTTGAAACATGAACGTTTTCCCAAAGATGAAATTTCTATACAATCAACTCATGTTTTTTTATTTTTTTTTATGTTATCAAATGAAAAACCATTTCAACCTGGAGAGAAACATGTCATCGTGTCGCCTCATGCGGCTGAACTAAAAGCCTCACAGAGGCGTAATGCTCCTTTTCTCTCTTCTTCAGGTTCATATTCCGTACCGGGAGTTCTTCCAGCTGGGGGCGCTGTCTGCCTACCACCGTGTGGTCAGCTTGGAGGACTTTATGGAGGTGCTTGCTCCCAAATACTGGCCCCCAGGCCAGAGGAAGGCCTACTGCTTTGAGACCGCAGCACAGCGGAGCGCAGACAAGAAGACCTGCCCCATGAAGGTCAGAGGTCACAGATACTCAATCCCAGTAGATTGATAGATTGATCTGTAACCCATCACAGAACAGCTGCATTTATACAAAGATTAAATTCAAAACAAGAAAACTGTTTGTTATTTTTGTGACTTCTATAGCTGAGCTGCATTTATTTTGGTGTATCATAGTAACTGGGGCACATATGCACACCACACATTTTTATTATATGTTTATAAAAGCATTTATAATTTTCCTTTCAGCCCACAATGCTTTGTGTTGGTCCATCACAAAAAGTCCCAGTAAAACACTGGAGAGTTTGAAAAGGTTCTGCCTCCTGCTGCGTCGGTATCGACCGATGTTAGTCATTTTCTAACATATCAGTCTTGGTCTGATAAATAAAATTGGGCCGATATGAACAATCTGGTTACCGGTATCGACCCAAATCTGCATTTGGGTGCCTTCCCAGTGAAGCCTGGACTCACGCTTCTGATCCATTTCCAGGACGGCAATCCTTTCGGCCCATTCTGGGACTATGTGGGCGTGGAGTTTGACCAGTCCATCCTGTTCGGAGGGATTTCCTTCAGCGCTTATCACCAACCTCAGTGGATCAAGAAGTAAGAGCTTTGTTGTACACAAGGACAAAATCATTGGTAGTGTATTAGAACCGCTCTGGATCAATCTAATCGTTATTTTTAGCTGTATGGATTTTGATTTCCCCGTGTTGGAACAGGTTCCCGGCCTCTGAGCACCCGGTCCTGGCGCTGCCCGGCGCACCGGCCCAGTTCCCAGTGGTGGAGGAGCATGTGGGTCTGCAGCGCTACGTGGTATGGTCACCCAAAATGGTGAAGGAGGGAGAGGAGCACATTGCCGCCCTGCTGGTCAGACCGTATGTGGGCATCCACCTGAGGATCGGCATCGACTGGGTCAGATGATGGGAGAGGTTCTATATATCAGGTTCTGTAGATCAGGCTCACAGTTCATACATATTGGTAACAGTGGAGGAGAGAATGTGATGGAGAAAATATAGATATATGCACATGGTTTCCTGATATATCGCAGGCCTAATATCTGTCAGACCTCAGCAGGTCCGGTTCTGAATGGCCTCTTCCTGTTTTTTCTCCAGCAAAACGCCTGCCGGCTGCTGGAGAGCGGCGACACAGGGCCTCACTTTATGGCGTCGCCCCAGTGCGTCGGCTACAACCGCCAGACGGCCCCGCCCCTTCCCATGAACGCCTGCCTGCCCGACCTGAAGGAGATCAGCCGGACCGTGCAGCGCTGGGTGAGGAAGACCGGTGCTCGCTCCGTCTACATCGCCACCGACTCCGAGTCCCACAGCAGAGACATCGAGAAGCTCTTTAAGGGCAAGGTGGGTTGTCAAGCAGCTCAGTTGTTAGCAGCTCTGCTTCTCTAAATATCTGTCTGTTGGTACAGAAGCTAAGCAGTGAGACGAAGTCGGGAAATGATTGGTAGGGCAGCTATGATCCTCCTCTTTCACTCCTCTTTGACTTGGGGTTGTAGTTCAGGAATTAGTTGAACTTTTGAGACGCTAATCAGCTGTTCTTGATTGTAAAAACAGTCCTTTGTTTCCATGGTTTTGCTTCAAAACTGGCTACAAATGAATAAGAGGGGACAAAATGCTTCCAGCTGCACAACCCAACAACCAGAGTAAATATTTCTCCAGACATGCAGCGCCTCAAACAGGAAGTGAAGAAATCAGAATTGACTTAACACAGCTAGTGCAACGTGCTGCCGCCAGGATTGGCTTAATTCTAAAGCTAATAACAGTAAGCAGTGCAAAAATTGCTCCTCCTACAGCAACGCTGAACCAGTCCTGCCAGTTGTTCATGCAAAATAAACCGATTTATTCATGCTAATGTAAATATTGCACAAAAATTGTCAAGAAGACTGGGATTGGGTGATGCTAACTCCCACCAGTAGGTGGCAGTCATACAGCAATATGGCAAGAAACAAAAATTGAGCTTTTTAATTTCTCTAAAGAATAAAAATGTTTGTGTCCAATGTACTTATTTTTTTCCTTCTATTTGTAGATTTTGGAAGGGATTTTCTTAGGAAAAAATATTGCAGATATTTCTAAAATAGCACCGCAAAAATGAGTGAAACTTAAATTATACTTAAATCCTGGAAGCTTTCAGTCTTTCTGTAGTCAGTTTGTCTTTCAGCGCCAGCCCAGCTTTGGTCCCTCTTGCTTTTAACAGCAGCTCTCCCTGTGGTTCTCTGCAGGTGAAGGTGGTGAGCCTGCAGCCGGACTTGGCCCAAACTGACCTGTACATCTTGGGACAGGCGGACCACTTCATCGGGAACTGCGTCTCCTCCTTCTCCGCATTCGTGAAAAGAGAAAGAGACGTCCGCGGCCTGGCCTCCTCTTTCTTTGGTATCGAGACGCCGACCAACACAAAGAAAGGACCGAAACAAGAACTCTGATCTGGGGACAAGTTCAAAGGAATAGTACAACGGATCATGAGGATATTTCATATGTAGTGTCTCAGAGAGGCAGGTCCAGCTTTACTCTGAAGAGGAAAAGGCTGGGAATTAGAGCTGCTACCCTGGGAACTGTTTTGACATGTTTTCCAGCTCCTAAAGAACTTCTTCACCATCTGTCTGCTGCTGCTCATTTGTTTTTAACACATCTTAGAGGCTTTGTGAACCTCTGTCCGTGATGATCATCTGCCTTTCATGCAGAGAAAAGCGGCATTAGCCAGGACCAAGCACTACTTGGAACGCTGAGAACAGCATCCTTCAAGACTCATTTAAGTTTGGAGTTCACATTTTTTTAATCAATAAATCAGTATTCTAAGAATGTTATGTATTTATTTTTAATCACATTCATGTACAGCTCAAAGTTTGGTTTCATCAGCTGATTTCCTGAGACGAAAGCAAAAACATTTTGACGTTTCAAACAAGTGCCTCAATTTTTCAGACTCATGTATCTAAAGAAAAAACATTCTTCAAGTCATTCTTTTCAAAGCGACTGTCATATTTTATTTAATAAGTAGATTTCATCAGCTGGCATAAGGTTTTTTAGTTGCTGAAAATTAATGGCCAGCATGTCCGTTATGTAGCATCAGTATTAGAAAAATCAGTTCTACATCCATTAGGCAGTGTTAAAGTAATGGAAGGAAGGAAGGAAGCCCCTGTCCCCTATTCTTCAAAACAAAAAAAGGTCAAATATTTGTGCATGCTAAGATATTAAAGGCTTAACAAAAAAAAGGTCAAACAGCCCAGCGTTCCCACGCAGTCCAAACAAAAACATACATACTGATCACCAACATGTTGAAGATACATCCATTGATCAAATCAGTAATAAAAACTTTGTCAAAAAAATATAAAGGCTAAAAAAATAAATCGTGAAACTACAGATTTACGTGAATCGTAAATCTGTAGTTAATCTCATTCAGAATTAGAAATCTGACCAATAATTCTACCGATATTATATTGGTCAGTTATCACTCTTTAATATGGGAGAAGCCGCTTAACCTGACCTAATCTCCATGGGTGTAAATCTATAAAAAGGTTGGTTTCTGTTAATCAAGATGCTGAGCGAATTTCTTTTTTTTTATGGGACAATTATCTTTACGGAATTTTCGCTGTAAGGAGCCACAGTGTCTTCCAATAGAAATGATCAAACTGTTGGACCTTACCTGATGATCTAGGAGCGAATCCCAAAAAAAGAAAAAAGGACCGGATGTTGACGCCCCTTTTGTGGCGAAGACGCTGGCAGCGCGACTTACCGTAAACACCCGAAGAGATGCGCAGCCATTTTCGGTTGATTTCTCCAGGCTTCCGAGGGAATTTTCTCTGGCAGGTCTCACTCGACTGCAATGGGACTTCTGGACTGAACAGCACTACTCACCGGTACATTCCAAACCCCGACAGTCCGCGGGTTTCATGTTCGTTTTTAACCCCAGCAGTTCGTCTTTCAGACTGTTAGCCAGGCAGTGCTACCATCCTGGTAGCCCAGGTTGCCCTCGGTGTGTTTGGCGTTGCTAGGCCGGTGCTGCGCTCCCTCCGCCCGGGACGAATCTCACCTAAGCTAGCGTTAGCTGAGCTGCTACACGGATCGCTGGTTTCTGACGTGAATTTTACGTGTAATAATTGTTTTGTGAGAAGAGGCTGACCAACAAACTGCTCCCAGTGGCTGTCATTCATTGCTGCTTCGGTTAGTTTACTTAACTCCGTTAGCTAATTTAGGCTTGTGGCTTCGGACGGCATTAACCGCCACTGTTACCAACGACCGAGCTGATGAATGTATGAATAGCTCAGTTCAAACCCTGTTATTCCAGTGGATGCTGTGGTTTTATTGATCAGTTTGGAAAACTCTCCTTAAACGTAGCCCTGTTATTCATTCTTAACATGCTTATTGAAAAATGCTGCGATATTTTAATAGTCTTCATCAGTTTATTCTCTGGCATTTCCAGTCTCTTAGCTGACATCATCAGAGGAATGTTTCAGCTTTTACCTATGAATCATCCAGGCATAGAGGACGTGAAACCTGAGGGATGAACCGAGATTTGTACACACAATACAGTTGTGTCCAATACAATGTAACTGTCAGACAATGTACCATGGAAATGCACTGATCAGGCCTCTCCTGGCCGATGGTGATTTCCATTTTTCATTCAGGTCCAAAGCTTTGAGTCCATTTTGTTTCGTTTCCTCAATTACTGTGAATGACATGCAGCATGATCCTTGATACAGGTTTTAGTTTGGAATCCAAGCAGCAGAATACAAAGGAATTAACCACCCGTAAAGATTGGGCGTCTCTTTCTCGCATAATTTTCATGATTCAGCCACATGGTTGACTTCTCCATGTGTGGTTAAGAGCTCTAATTAAGGATAGCTGCAGCCTACAAAATGACTTTTGTAGCCCTTTGTTTAAGGCCAGGAAAGAGGCTTACACACATCGACTTCTTAAATATTAGTAAAAACAGTACATGCTTCCTCTGAAAATTTTCAGGTACTGTACTACACTGAAAACGAGAAGAAAACAAACCAAAGTTCTAAGAAATCTTTACGAAAACATTTGAGTGTTGCTGAGATGAATGAACTCCCTGTGTCTGCCCCACCTTCTCCAGATGCCGCCGTCTTTTCCGGTGAAGCCTTTCTGAAGCTGCGAGGACACGAGGTGCCAAGACGTGAGGACCAGCCACTGCTTCCCAACATGTCCAAGACCAAGAGCTCCGAGTCCGTCAAGGTGGTGGTCCGCTGTCGTCCTATGAATGACAAAGAGAAGGCCTCTAAATTTGAGCAAATGGTTTCTGTTGATGTCAAACTGGGTCAGATCAAGGTCAGGAACCCGCGGGAAGCCAGCGAACTCCCCAAAGTCTTTACTTTTGATTCAGTTTACGACTGTAACTCGAAACAAATAGATCTGTATGATGAAACCTTCCGGCCTTTGGTCGATTCTGTTCTCCTTGGCTTCAATGGGACCATTTTTGCTTACGGCCAAACAGGAACAGGAAAGACGTACACAATGGAGGGAGTGAGAAATGATCCGGAGAGGAGAGGGGTGATCCCCAACTCCTTTGAGCACATTTTCACGCACATTTCACGCTCCCAGAATCAGCAGTACCTCGTCAGAGCGTCGTATCTGGAAATTTACCAAGAGGAGATCCGGGACCTGCTCTCCAAAGACCAGTCCCACCGCCTGGAGCTCCGGGAGCGGCCCGACACGGGTGTGTACGTCAAGGACCTTTCGTCTTTTGTCACCAAGAGCGCGCGGGAGATCGAACACGTGATGAACGTGGGCAACCAGAACCGTTCGGTTGGCGCCACGAACATGAACGAGCACAGCTCCCGATCTCACGCGATCTTTGTCATCACGGTGGAGTGCAGCGAGTTGGGCGTGGATGGAGAGAACCACATCAGAGTGGGTAAGCTGAACCTGGTGGATTTGGCTGGAAGCGAAAGGCAAACAAAGACCGGTGCTCAAGGCGAGAGATTGAAAGAAGCCACGAAGATAAACCTGTCGCTTTCCGCCCTGGGAAACGTCATTTCGGCTCTGGTGGACGGCAGGAGCAGCCATATCCCCTACCGAGACTCCAAACTCACCCGCCTGCTGCAGGACTCCCTGGGGGGAAACGCCCGCACTGTGATGGTCGCCAACATCGGCCCGGCGTCCTACAACGTCGAAGAGACCCTGACCACGCTACGCTATGCCAACCGGGCCAAGAACATCAAGAATAAACCGCACGTCAACGAGGACCCTAAGGACGCCCTGCTCAGGGAGTTCCAGGAGGAGATCGCCCGGCTGAAGGAGCAGCTGGAGAAACGCGTGGGGAAGAAGAAAAAAAGGAGGCAGAGGAGGAGGGGCGGGGAAGGAAGCGACGGAGAAGACCTGGAGGACGGAGAGACGGAGGACGACGAAGAAGAAGGAGGCGGCGACTACTGGAGAGAGCAGCAGGAGAAGCTGGAGCGAGAGAAGAAGGCCGTCCTGGAGGACCACAGTCTGGTGGCCGAGGAGAAGGATCGGCTGCTCAGGGAAAAGGAGAGGAAAATGGAAGACTTGAAGAAAGAAAGAGAAGTCGGTGAAATGCTTGCAGCTAAAGTTAAGGTAAGCAAAAAAAAATAATCTAGAGGTTTTTGTTCTCTTTGTGCTTTCCACTCTGACTTGATTCTTTTCAACTTTGTGCGTCACTCAGGCGATGGAGAGCAAGCTTCTTGTAGGTGGGAAAAATATTGTTGATCACACCAATGAGCAGCAGAGGATGCTGGAGCTGAGGAGGCAGGAGATTGCTGAACAGGTGAACTCATGGTCCAAACAAACTGCTAACTGAAGGGGAGTTTTTACAGGAATGACGGAGAAACACTCTGGCACATTTCAAACCAACAGTGTTTCTGCATGTTTTGAATTATTCCACAATTTGTGACGGTTGCTTTTCTGTCCTAAGAAATTTGAAAACCATAATGAGAAAGAAATAGAAAGAAACCAAATAAAAACATGCTTACATACTCTTACAGATGATGTTATTCATCTGTAGGAGCTGGTAGGTAAAATTCAAATTGAAGCATCTGTTACAGGAACAGTACCCAAACTCTTCATGCTGAAACACTAAATGGACAAAACAAGAAACTAAAGATTAAAACAGCAACTTGGAGACAGAGTGTGAAGTGCTTTGATCCTCTGGATTTGATGCATGTTGTGGTAGATCTGCCTGATGCTTGGCCACAGCTGATTGTCTTCAGAGGCCTGGTGAGAGTCATTTCAGGAAGCCCTGGCTTTCAATGTTTGCTTCCAGAAACGGAGAGAGAGAGAGATGCAGCAGCAGATGGAGAGTCGTGATGAAGAGACTCTGGAGCTGAAGGAGACCTACAGCTCTCTGCAGCAGGAGGTCGACATCAAGACCAAGAAGCTGAAAAAGGTGATGTCTGATTTTTTAAATTTATTTTTTTATTCTTTTTCAGACCAAACTTGCTATGTAGTGTTAAAATAAATCAGCATAACATAAAAAATGTGTTTTATGGTAAATCGGGATTGCGGGTTTACAGAAGTCATGTGCAGAATATGTTCCTGGCTGTTAAATTCAGTACTGAGATTTGTTGTGCTTTTTGGTCAAACTAACCTTTTGCTCTGGATCTCGTGTCCTGCAGCTGTTTTCCAAGCTGCAGGCGGTGAAGGCAGAAATTCAGGACATCCAGGAGGAGCACATCAAGGAGCGGCAGGAACACGAACAGACGCAGAACGAGCTCACCAGAGAACTCAAACTCAAGTATGGAACACATTTCCCCCCTCAGTGCGCGTCTGCAGCTTCATTTTATTTTTTGCCGTGAATGATTTCATAAGACACATCTATGATTATGAATTCTGAATGTTTATCTTTCAGACATCTGATCATCGAAAACTTCATTCCTTTGGAGGAAAAGAATAAAATCCTCAACAGGGCTTTCTTCGACGATGAGGAAGAGTGCTGGAAGATGAAGGCCATCACTCGCATTGAGGAGTAAGCTCAAAACTACTCTGGAGTTTGGTTCAATCCGTCATGAGCTTAGTGGAAATCTCAACTTAACTAAAAACACCTTTAATCTACACATTTCCTATTTACGCGTAAAGCAATCAGATCCGTTTCCGGTGCAAATGTGAGCAATTCAGTTAGTTTGGACCGATCACCGTGGCGACTTCAGGTATCTGAGGATGGATTGCATGGATGAAACAGACTTTTACAGTTTCATCATTGTCATCCTAATATTTTCGTTGATTTCTAAAGTAAGTTATGTATTTTATGTGCTTACTTAAATTCCTTCCATTTAGAAAGATTTATGCATCTGGTTCTAACTGACCATGTAAAAGCAGAGCTGTGCTGCAGTGTGACCTGTTGTGCTGCAGTGTGACCTGTTGTGCTGCAGTGTGACCTGTTGTGCTGCAGTGTGACCTGTTGTGCTGCAGTGTGACCTGTTGTGCTGCAATGTGACCTGTTGTGCTGCAGTGTGACCTGTTGTGCTGCAGTGTGACCTGTTGTGCTGCAGTGTGACCTGTTGTGCTGCAGTGTGACCTGTTGTGCTGCAGTGTGACCTGTTGTGCTGCAGTGTGACCTGTTGTGCTGCAGTGTGACCTGTTGTGCTGCAGTGTGACCTGTTGTGCTGCAGTGTGACCTGTTGTGCTGCAGTGTGACCTGTTGTGCTGCAGTGTGACCTGTTGTGCAGTGTGACCTGTTGTGCTGCAGTGTGACCTGTTGTGCTGCAGTGTGACCTGTTGTGCTGCAGTGTGACCTGTTGTGCTGCAGTGTGACCTGTTGTGTTCTCCGTCCTGCTGCTCCAGCGACCATCAGATGTTGTCCCGGCCCCTGTCTGCCGTGGGCTACAGGAGGCCCCTCAGTCACCATGCTCACATCGCCATGAGGATGAAGCCTGACATGAGATACAAAGTGAGCTGCTTTTCTCTTTGTTTCGGAAACAAACATCTGAGTGGAGGACAATGATGATCGTCTTTTCAAACAGAAGTGGAGTCGTTGGTCGCTACATGCAAGCTCAGTATGGGAGACTGCTGCTAAGTCAGTGACTTGATTCAATCTTCTGCATTTCCTTAAGAAAAAAACACTTTTTATCCAAGTTGAATAATAAACTGAACTTGATCTCAGTTTGATCACTGGGGTCAATCTGGAATGGATTGATAAACATCAGGGTTAGACATGAATGCAGTTTCTAAATGAATGGAAGTCGATACAAAGTCCTTTTATGGGCACAAATACATGTGAGAGGGTAGTTGTATATGCTGCATATAGAGAACCACTTTCATTATTTCACCAATGAGGTCCTCACTTTTTTTATGTCTATTGCACTCTACCAGTTCGGGTTAAAGGTATGGTTTTGGTTCTGGTTAGGAACAGACTACTAAAGGTTTGATTTGGTTCTCAGGGTTAGCCTATAGAAACTAATGGAAGTCGGTGTAAACTCTTTGAAAAGATAGAACGATGTGTGTGTGTGTTTGTTGTGGGTTCTGTCAGGCTGAAAACATCCTGTTGCTGGACATGGACCTGCCTTCTCGGACCACTAAGGAGTACCAGGAGCCAGTCATCGCTCCACAGGTGGCAGCAGCTCTGGAGGACGCTCTAAGAGACGAGGATGAGATCCAAGTAGACGCTTCAGGCTTCCACAGCAGCTCGGGACCAACTCCGCCTGCAAGTGCCAGCAGCAGCCTTAAGAAACCAAAGTCTGGGTAAGAGAGCCCTCTGCCACTTTCATCTGTTTAGAAATAGTTATTTGTCGTGTAGCCGTCTTCTTCCACTGCTTCCTGTCTTTCAGTCGACCCAGAACAAGCAAGAAGTCGAGCACGCCGACCTCCCCTTTCAGCCCTTGCAGTCCAGCATCCCCTCTCTACCCACAATCCCGTGGCCTGGTGCCCAAGTGACGCCTTCTTCCATTGCCGTCACCAACCTCTTTGTGCACCTTCCCACTTTAAGACTCTTAGAGGATTGGGTTTGTTTGGTCAGGAGCCAAAGGAACCTTTAAGACCACCGCTGCTCTAGTTTCAGTTGTCACCACATCACTGCTAACAGCTGCCATGCATAAAGCCCCAGATCACACTGAGACCTCCTCTGCCATCTCTGACTCTTTGTCTTAAATATCACTAAGTTCTTAATATGAATATCACCTGCAGGGTCCAGTCCATGTCTGCATATTTCTCTCTTTACGTCAATCTGTCACATCGTGGTAAACTTCATGCGTGTGATTTTTATTTGTTTGATTGTATCTGACGGTCAGAGAGCAGATGACACGACCGTTGCTGTGATCAATAAATGCTGATCTTCTGGCAGAAAGAGGCAGGAAAGGATGGAAGCATCCCAGCGGGTGGGTAACCCACCACTACAGACACATCAGGGTTCCGAGGTGCCTTAAACCTGCAATCCTCAAAGTCCTCATTTAAATCCTGCAGGCATGTCGTCTCCTTCATAAATTCATTCATTTACTACATCATGCACTGCTTGAATGGAGGTGCTTAGAATACAACCTTTTCTTTGGGTTGCTTGGCGGACGAAGAGCAACACAGTCATGGTTAGTAAAAGTTCAGCCTTTTTCAAATGGAAAGTCTAGTGTCACAGGACATGATTAGGAAATGAGTTCCTAAAAGCTCTTAAAATGAAGTAAATAGGTCTCAAGATTCTACCTTCAACTAAATCACATTAAGGTCAGGACTTTGATGCTCATTAACCCCTTTGGTTGCAGGATCTGCACTCATTGTTTACGCCTTGCACACCAAAAGTGTTCTCCTGATCCACTTTGGTTGTTTGTCACAACCATGTAACCCATAGCTACAACCTTGTAGCTATATATATATATATCTTGAAAGGGGGTGAACTTTAACCTTTCCATGACCATGTATTGACCCTGTGAGTTCTTTATAACTCATCTATCTGTCTTTTGAATGAGAGCCCAGCAGCTTCCCTCCCCCTGCCACCACAGCTGGACTAAATGTAGACTTGCCACAGAAATCGGTGGAAACACTTGAACTTGCAGGACGCTCCATCTTTCTGCCTCTATGCTACTTTGTTACTGTGATGCGTGCGCTGTTTACCTGCTGCTACTGTGGAAGGGTCTCCAACCCACTGTGACGTTTAAACAAGCCTGGGTCAACTTGCAAACTGCATCCCCTCACATCGATGTTTTCTCCCAGCAGCTGGAACCGTCCTCGCTGTTTGACCCATGCCTGCTATTCATTTAGATAATTAACATTATAGACTTGTTGCTAGGCAATCTGTCATGTAAAGGAGAAAATAGGTTACCATATTAAAAGAAAAAGTACTTATAACTTATTGAAATCTTTCCTTTTTTTATATGCAGATGTAGATTTAATTTTTATATGCTTTTTTTCTTGTGAAATACTTTTATTTTTTTGAGCTCTGTAATTTAAGGTTAAAAGATTTATTTTTAGCGTCTTACATGCAGTATGTGTATTTTCTATTCTCTGTGGCTTTTGTGCGTGTGGGTGTGTGTGTGCGTGTGGGTGTGTGTGTGTGTGCGTGCGTGTGTGCGTCTGCGTGTGTTTGACTGGATCGTTTTCCCACACGGTTGAGATTAAAGTGTGTAAGTGCAGAAAAAAGCTGGATTCAGGTCACAACTGAGCATTTACTGCTTGCAGCTGTTGAGTCAATTTACCAATTGCATATCCTTTCGGATCAGAACCGGTTGATGTAACTAACATTGCAGCTCTGTAGACGTGTTGCATGATCTTGGCATGCTTGAGTAACACATTTGGCTTTGCTGTTATTTATCAGTCACAGGAATCTGGCAAGCCCAGTGTTATTGTCTTTATTTATTGTTTAGCCACAGCACTGGATCAGAAACTTTACACTTGTGTGTGACCAACTTTTATGCACTGTTATCATTTTTAGGCCAAATGTCTCTTTTTTTTTGTTTTTTTATGTTTTCTTGTTCAGTATCTTTTCATTATTAAAGAAATTTTAGTGAAAACCATCCTGGTATGTCCTTATTTAAAAGCAGTATGGTCTAGGAAGATGCTACTTTGTTCTTTGAGCTTCCATTAGTGCTGATTTATGGCTAATTGTCTATCTTTTAAAAGCCTGAGCTCCCAATTCAAATTTTGACCCATACTGATGTTTTTATTTTATTTTTTACCTGGTGTCTGTCAACCCTCCCTCATGGCAGAGCAAAAGGGGACAGTGACTGATTCAAGACGTTCGTGGGGGATTGGTTCGTAATAAATTATATCTTCATCCAGAGACCTTCTGGATGAAGCAAAGTGTAGAACAAGGGACTGGTTTTCACCAGGCCAGGCTTGGTGACTGCAGTAGACACTTTTCAACCCAAGGAGGGCAGCACTAAGACAGTTTTACCCCAGAATCAATTATTGCAGAATCAAGCAAATTTACATTAAATTGTCACAATTTGTACATTTGAGATAAAGAACATATTTACACAATTTACCTGCAAAAAACATAATTTGGGGTTTTAGTTAAGATTACATATAATGCCAGGAAGCCTGAGTCTTTACATAAAAAATATATATATATATATATTTACCCTTTTTTAACCCTTTAAAATCTGTTCACTGGTCTAATGACATCATTCAACGGATTAAGAAGTTATTGCATCTTTAGAATCCACTTTATTATCAACAGTTCCAAATTAAAGTCACTCTGATCTGAAATGATTTTTTAAAAAGTGGAACATAATATTCATATACATTCAGCAGAGGAGCACAAATGTACAAAAGCCAAAGTGCATGACAAACAAATGACCTACATACAATACTCGAAGGTAGATCCAGCAGGCCCAGAAGTAATCCGGAGAGAGAGGATGTAATCATCTTTTAATCCTAAAATTCAAACAGATTTTTACTATTGCACCTATAATTTACCTATTTACTGAAAGTCTTTTTATATTAAACACAGTCGATTTTCTGTTTACGTCACAGTTTCTTTTTCACAAACCAGCTGAGCAGTTCTGAATTGGACTTTTTTTGCCATTTTATCTTCTTTCTGATTGACTTGTTCCTTGTTTGCTGTTTCATCTGGAGATCTGCCTGTGCAGCGTCCGTTTGGCACAGGTCAGGGGTCAGGAACCGGAAGAAAAAAAGCAACAAAAAGACAAGCAAAAGGGGACAAAGGAGTAATGCCCCATAAGACTAGAATCTAGAGTCCAAAAAAGTCACAGGAGATACTTTTTTATTGAAGTACCTTTGTAGGATTAACAACACAAGACACTTTTAAAAATGTCCACACCACTTCAAGTCTCGTAAACTAAAGGAAAAAACAAATCAATTTATTGCGTAAAAAATGATGAGTACACAATGGGAGAAAACTTGCATGTCGAAGATTATTTGTGTATTTTTTTTATCATGCTAGTTCATTCATGTAAAAAGGAATATTAATATGCATTTTATGGTCCTTCTATTTCGGTTAAGAGAGTCCAAAGGGATCCAGATGGACTTGAGACAACTCCTGGGGCCAAATGTGAGGATTCTAGCTCCAGACTGGACCCGAAGAATAAAACATATGCATAGAAAAGAAATGGAAAATTCAAGCTTCTATCAAGTCTACGTCTCTCCACGAAAGGTTTTGAAATGCTAACAAAAAGTTGGTCTCGGGAAGCAGAAAATTTAAAGGGCATTTTGGGTTTTACTTCAACCGGGCTTTGTCCCGAGAATTTCCATGACAGACTAGGAGAAACCAAAGATGTCAAAGTTTCATGTTTTTCTCAGAGGACATATTTCTAATGGGCCGACTGACATTAATTTCTCATAGATGTCGGTGTCCACATGTTCAGTAATCAACACAAATCAAGATATGTGTGATAAAGTGAAACGGTAGAGAATAAACGTTGAACCATTAAAAGAATAAACAGCAAATACATACACGCTCGCTGCACAAGACTCCACTGGTGAAGAAAAAGCAGACAGGAGCTCAGAACATTTAGACTTTTGACTGAATATTTCAGTGAGTTTGCCTATTAATTCATTCCACTTTATAACTCAAAGCTTCTGTTTGTTTGTTGAGTAAATCATTTGGTGGGGGGTGAAGGGGGGGGCATGCGGGCTCCCAGGATTTTAGATTTCACACTATTAAAAATATATTCTCTGTGAAAAACATTACGATTATTCCCTGCTGACTCAACGGGAAATCTGCCGGGTTGAAATAAACTGGATCTGAGTTGTCTAATGAGATGCATCAGTGAAAAGAACCCGACCCGCCACCAGCAGCTGCAGCTGGAGGGATCTTGACACCAGCTCTGCTTCTTCTTCTCACACTTGTGGACCCAGTGAGTGAAACGCAGCGCCTCACCGTGAGCCTCCTCTCCTCTGCAGTGTCAGGCCGCTCTGTTCCCGGTTGAAGCTGAACTGTTTTGGTCCCTGCTCCCTGAAAAATCTTCTGCTTGGTTATTAAACTGATCGGAGCTCATCTGCAAACTGTCTTCATCGGCAGGAGTCCGTTTAAAGCTCACAGCGCTGTCCTGCCACACAGGAAACGGAAATCTTCCCAGTCTCAGGGAACAGAACGGAGAGAAACGAGGATGGTGATGGAGAGGATGGCGGTCGTCAGCTGGTCTTGTTAGGGGGTTGTTAGGTTGGAACGGAGGCTCGGGGCCGGCTGGAGAAGCTCCAGGCTGCGGATCGGAGCGGTGCGGCGCCGGCTCGGCTCATTTCTCCCGGTAGTACAGCAGGTACATTTTGAGTGGCTCGGGCAGCGGCAGCCCCAGGATCCTCTCTCTCAGGACGTTGACGGCCGGCTGGGGTCGCAGCAGTTCGCCCGTTTCCTTCTCCTCCTCCTCCTCTTCGTCCTGTTTCTCCACCTCCACCTCCTCCTCTTCCTCCTCCACCGTTTCCTCCTCCTCCACCAGCCTCCCCCTACCCGCTCTCCGGCTGCCCCTCGCCGGCCGCCTGGCCTGCCGCTCTCCGACTGCCTCCTCGTCCTCCACTCGTCCCTCTTGGTTGTTGTTGCTGTCCAGGGAGGCAGGGGCCATCCCTCCACCGGCCACCACCTGGCGGGTGGCAAGCATGAGGGTGTTGCAGTGGCGCCGGTGGACGCGACGGCGCTTAAAGCGCGGGCCGTACTTGTGGAGGCCGGCCGCCGCC